GGTGGTTCAGAGAGTATAACAGTTCATTTCAGTTTACAGACGAGCCAGTGGAGCTCTAAGGTAAATGCTTGCCAAGTGTCCTCCAAAGGTGTACGGCAAAACTAACGCCCACCTATTTGGGTGTATTTTCCTTACTGCCTGTTCTTATTTGGTTACAGACACATATTATCAACTATTTGCATCCTTAAACTAACCCACAGAGAGGCAAACGGAACCACTAATTAGATATGGTAATTCAGTCCTGAACCTATGATAGAATAAGGTATGAGCTAAGTGAGAAACAGAGCAAGGTGTATTTTGGGGTTACCACAGAAGCAGTATCCGCTGGTGGTTGACAGTGGCAACAAGAAAGGACCTCTGTTCAGCGAGGTGTATCAGTAGAGGTATGTGTGGACAGGGTGGTTCTATTTGTTCTTACCTCACAGGGGAGGTTTCCAGTAAATAAAGTAACCGTTCTGCAATCTAGGACAAGACTTAGTCCTCATCTGCAAAGACGCAATAGATTATGTTGAAGGGAAACCATCCTAAATTGTCTCACATGTGCCTTGTTATCATGCACTTCTTTTTATTTTTAATGAGGAGACAAGGGCATCATTACCTCCTCTGTGAACACCTGTCTGCCAAGATTTAGAACAAATCCTTCCAGACAATATTGCCTTTTATTTCAGGTAAACTCTATCATTTCTTTCTGTCCAGAACTGTCATGTTAGAATTCCCAACACTCCACACAAGTTTTCTGTTAATTTTTCTGTGAGGAAGAGAGTGAGGAAAAATGTATCTTGCCCCTAACCGACTGTTTTGATTTCTCTTTCAGTGAGCACCAGCTCCTTTACATCTTGAGCCTTAAACTCTTTGATGCTGTCTCTTTAAGCATAAAAGAAAAGAGTATTGTCTTTAGTCTGTAGGCTTGGATGAGCACAAACATAAAACATTTCTGTGGGTTCATCTTTCTGTGGCAGTAATTGATGTCAGACTCAGGGCTGTCATATTTTCCCTCACCCTATACAGTGAGCATTTGGTGTTCCACGAGTCTGCAGTTGTGTCAACTTTCCAATCCTGCGTGGAGTTCTCACTGGTGGTTTTTGTGAGAGCAGCTTGACAAGGGCAGCATCCGGGATCTTGATCACCTTGCAGGGCTTCTCATTATGCCTTGAACACAATAGGGGCTCGCTACATGAATGAACGCTTGGATGAACTTTTTTAGTTCGATTCCATGAGCTGCTTAATTCTATTAGATGTGCCGCCTAGGTTTTCATAAGACATTTAATTGGTACCTATTTCTTACTGCCTTGTAATGCTCCATAAATGTTTTGTTACTTTCAGTAGAGCCCAAATGAATAGATGTTAAAATATTTCTAATTACAGAGTAATAATTTCAAAGCCTTCCCACGGATGGCATTGGGTTCATAGGACGTGATTCCTGGGTTATCTGGCTAAATTTTGGGTTCTAGGCATAAAACTATAAAGCTTCACAAGCTTTTTGAGACACCATCTGAAATGTTATCATTTTACAGATGAAGAAGCTGACATTTACCTTATCATTAGAGAATGAATTAGGGGTGTGAAGTGTTCTTAATCAAGATGCTGGATGTACGTACACCTTTTTTCCCCATGAAAATGTAACATTATTGTTTTGTGACTCTTCCTAAACTGGCTGTTTCCAGGGATACCTGCTTACTTTCTACTGTCACTATTCTTAGGGACAGCCCAGCACTCTATTCATAGTTAAATTGGAATTGCTTTTGGTCATGGTGAAAGAACAACAGTAATCCTCATAACCATGGACAAACTCCTTTTGTTCCGCTGACTTTTTTATATCTTTTGACGTGCATCTTGAAATTACCCTTATCTCAAGTTCAGTGGCCAGTGCATAACAACTGAAGTCATCATTTGTGTATTGTAAGCCCGAAGCCTTGCTTTCTAGAATCTTGCCAGCACTGAGATCTTTCTGAAGATCATCATTACTTTGGGAAAACGAAGCTTAACAAAGATGAGTTGGGAAATAAAATGGGATCATTGCCCAAGAATCGAGAAAAAGATACAGCATGGCAATAAAGTGAGGAGAGACTGTGCCTTGGCTTTACAAGATCTGGACTGGAATGCTGGCACTGGGTCCTTTTCGCCTTAGGCAGTTCAGGAGCCCTGGACGCCTTGCCTCTGTGTATCTGGTGTGGGAAAGTGAAGCACAGGTTAGGGCCATAGATTGCTCTATGCAAACTCCACATATGGACACTCGTGTTATTTAAAATCCTATCCCTAGGAGTTCCTAGTCTGAGTCTTGTTTGGTTCAGTAGCTCCTGATTAATAGCACTCTGAAACAGTGACCATTTGTTTAGCATTTTACAGCTTACAAAACAATTTATTATCGTCCTGTTATTGAGAGCATCATTTAATACTGTTTGAACCAATGTTCCATTTTTTAATCAGTAGCTTAATTCTATTACTCCTACACTTCTCAGGTGGCTTGCATTTTTCAGATGGGAGGAGTCTAGGAGGATAAAGAACTTGGTGACACAAGTTAGCTTTTAAGTAATAAGGGGATTTATGTGCACCTTTTGAAACTCCTCATCCCATGTTCTTTCCCCTAGGATACAGTGGTCGTAATCATTGGACATAATCAGTGCCATGTAAAAGGGCTTGTTTTGGCCAGCCTCTTGCTACCGACTCTCCTCTGTCTGTTAAAATAATGTACGAAGGACTTTGGCCCCTGAAAATATACAGCCTTCAAATGGAAGGGATGGAAGCAGTTCCATGTCATACTACTGTTCTCATTCACCATTTGAAAGTTTGAAATTTGATTTCTTCTAAGACTCTGGCAGTTGAAGTCAGGGGATAGCAGTCACAATATCGAGTAGTTTCTTTCCTACTCTGTCTTACAAATTTGATGGGAACCACTAAAGCCTATTTTTTTTCCAAAACTCTTTGGTTAAAAAGAGAACCTGATCATGCCTACAAGTAGAGAAAGGCATTTGGGATACACTCAGTCACTTTAAAATCCAAAACTGGCTGATACACTGGTGTGTAAACAGTAAAACTTCTTTTACGGGTGCCTTCAGAGAGTCTTATCTAAATACCTAAAAGCTCACTGTGGGCATCGTTACGCTAGGTTAGATTTCCAGACCTACAGCTCCCTTATGATGTCAAGAGGGATAACTGATGCTTATTCTATAGTTAGAGCTCCCAAGCCTCCAGCAAACATTTTGCACACCATTTCTAGGCCTAGCAGTAAATGTGTTAAGCATTGTGAGACTGAGCTAACACATCTGCTGAAGAGATTATTTATTTGAGTAAATAGAAAGGTGGGGGTCGGGGGGAAGAGTGTGGACCTTAGGATTGAGTCACACAGGCCTAAGTACAAAAGCCAGCTTCGCCACTTATATGCTACGTAGCCCATCAAAAGTTACTTAATTTTTCTTTTTTGTTTTTTTTGTTTGTTTGTTTTTCTCCGGTACCGGGAACCGAACTCACGACCTTGCGCTTGCCAAGCAGGCGCTTTTGCCGCTGAGCTAAATCCCCAGCCCCTTAATTTTTCTTTTCATAATTTTTAAAAATTTTTATTAGTCTGTGTTTTTGTTACATAGTGATTACATTCATTGAGGGGAGCTGGGGCATGTACTTAAGCATCTTTGGTTGTACTATCCACAAACAATACATTATAAACTGCTGCTTTACATGTAACATAAAAATACATCCATCAAGTTAATGGTGTTATTCCAGTCTTACTTCCTAGAATACTCAAAGACACCAAGATGTATAATAGGAAGGTGTTTTTCCTAGCCTTCTCCTTTCCTATTCCCATGTATTTTAAGAACCCAAGATTTCCTTCTTCATTTTTTCCAGTTGATGGGGAAAGAGAGTGATGTGTTCAGATTTGTGTCACACTTCTTATATAATCAGGAAACCAATATTTGTGAATTCAAGAGAACAGTGGGGTTATTGGAAGCTGAGTTTTACCTACATAAAACTTTATCTTGTCTTACAGCCAGAAGACCAAATATTGAAAAGAGTGGAACCATATTGTGACTTCCAAGGCTAGAGTGATGTCATTCCTTTGACAATGAATCCTGTGCATGTGTAGAGACCTTAGCTTCCATCGTCTGATTTAATTCTATCGAGCCCCAAAGGATCATTATTATCCTCTTTTCACAGACAAGGAAACTACCTGTGAAGTGACTTGAGCATCCCAGCTTGCTCTGAAATCTAGCAACAATCTTCTCCAACCTCAGCCTCATTTCTGACTCTGTCTGGTCTCTAGAGTAAGCTAGGTTTCATGTGCACAGGAAGTGGTCCCATCTGCTCTCGCAGGCATCCAGACTGCTTAGGAAAATGGTGCTGTGTTTGGGACTTGACTTTTCTTCCTCTCTGATCCCAGCTCAGGGGATGATGCCGTTGACGCTCTGGGCTGTCAAACCGTCCCTGGTTAAGACTTAGAACAGTGCCATGTTCACGATTACACTCTAGCCTTTATTGAGATCAGCCTGTTGATTAGAGCGACAGTCTCTGCAAAGTGTTTTTGCCAGCCATATGGAAGACAACTTAGAAAAAACAATGTAATTTCTACCTGTGGACGCGGGCTAGGATTGCACCATCTCTCAAGCTGTGGGACCTTGAGGTGCGGTGTAAAGAACTCCTCCTAAGAACTCAGAAAACCAGTCCTCCTCCTGCCTCTGTAATATTTCCCCCTGCTCTGCTGCATCTGTTCTTTCGACTACCCAGTGCAAGGAGTTCATTGAAGGACTGCAGATTTCACTGTTCCTTTGTTTAATGTTATTATTATTTAAAGTGGCAAAGAAATAGATTATATCCTTTGTAATGATGACCATCTTTTTAAAAAGTACCAAAGCAAACTTTTCATTTGTTTGCATATAGAATTAAACCCTTTCCTAGCTTTGTTCAATAGGCTATGGAAGTACTTTTTTCTTATTTTTATTTACTTATTTATTATTTCATGATATTTGCATATTTATATTTTATATTCATATGACACAATATGCTTATTTGCAGTATCACCTTTAATAGTTTGTTTGCATTTTCTCATTTTACTGCAGGCAGACAATACCTAGCTCACGTATCATTCCAGAAAACCCCCCTGTGACTCTTACCAGTCCAGCCCCACCTGCCGCCTCACAGGCAAATACGTTCAGAGTTCTCACACCATAGTTGTTTGAATTGCGATAACGGTGGAAGTATACCGTATTTATTTTTTGGTCTCTGGCTCTTTCATTCAATGTGCAGTTTTTGAGATTCGTCCATGTTTATATCAACCATCTGCCTCTCTTTGTTGTCTAGTATTCCCTGGGTATGCCGCATTCCATGAATATACTATAACTAGTTTATTCTCCGCCTTTTAAATGTCATCATGAATACAAGTCGCGGAAATGTGGGTGAAGTCCACCTTCGGTCAGTTGCAAGGGCCTTCGTGTATGTACTACGGCATCCTGCTGCCAGCCTGGACGGCTGAGCCCATCCCTGTGTCTCTAGGTCTTTATTCTTCCACCATTTCTATCACTGTTGTGTGGAGGTAGGAGGCACCATGGCTTGAGAAGCAAGCTCACATGGCTTGCTCTAAAACTTGACAGTATATCCAGCGACTTTGTCACCACATCTGTTTCACCATCAGTGAAACTGTCTTGTGGGGCTAGGTAGATGATCTTCCCAGTTCGGTCATCTCTAGGATCCAGGGGTGCTTTGGAAACCCCTCCTCTGGCCTCTGAATACTTCATTTCCCTTAGTTGCTCCTGCAGTCACTGTGTTGTGCCTCTCTGTGGTGAAATAGCCAAAGCGTCAAATTATCTGAGGTAACATTTCTGGTCTCTCTTCTTCCCTCGCAGTCCAAGCTTCCTTTTCTAGACCTAGAGGCTAGAGAAGAAAAGTTGTTGAAGAACTTGCTTCAAGAACAATTTTCCTCAAAAGTTCTGGGTCTTATATTTTGATATTTTTTTTTCAAGTTCTTGCAGTGCTATTAACTTGCAGAGCTTGCCATGGACAGCAGACTTTACTGTACTCTTATCATACTTCAGAACTACATTATGGATTTGTTCTTTCTGTCTCCCATCCTTATTTAATTGTTGTGCTTCATGGTTACTCTCTAAGTTATTGACTTAATTTCTTTCCTTCTAATTGTTAACATAAATTGTATAAACTGAATTTAGGTAGCAGGTAGTCAAAAGTTCTGAACTACCTATATTTCTTACTCACCTGGAAATGTCTCTTTTATTTTAGGGCTCAATGTATGTAATGCCTTCTCTCTTCTCCACAATCCATAGAGGAAAAGTCCTCCTGTGTGGAAACAAACAAAATCTCTCCCTGTATGAAAACACTGTTTAGGAGTTTGTTTTTTTTTTATTTTAAGGGGAAATTCTATGTCACTTTAAGAAATAGGATATGTCTCTGTTTTGAAAAAGACTGAAGGCAGTTGAACAGCAGCATATTTTTGTAGCTTCTCTTAAGTGTATAATGTGATTGTTTTGGTTGACAAGGGAATGTACCGATTTGCATGTTTGCCCAATATAGTGATAAGTTCAAAATTTCATTTCTAAGTAAAGATGATTTTGAGAAGTATCTACCGTGGAAACACAGTGGAATAGCAAAAGCACATACTTTAAAATGAGGAAGATTAGGTTTTAATACTTATTCACCTCTGTTTCAGTGGAGGGTTGAAATAAATCACTTCAATTCTCTTGATCCTCCTGCCTCAGCTTCCCAGAGTGCTAATAAAACAGACATCTTCCAAAGTTTTAGTCTTCTTATCTGTGAATTGGGAATCATAATATTCATTCATTAAGGTTGTTTTCAAGATTGTAGATAAGATATATAAAATTCATTACACATAAGATATAAACCTAATAAAGGTAATAATGTAATTTCTTAGGGCTTGTCGTTTCTGTTGCTTCTTTTGATAACAACAGAATTAGTTCCTCTCATACATATTTCCTGAAGCACATAGCTTCAAGCATGAACTTTGGCACTTCTAAAGTGGAGTGTGAATTTCATTTTTACACTCACATGGCCTGCGACTTTCCACCGCTGCCTTATGTCTCACCAAATTGCGATTAGATTCAGAAAATCACATTCTCAAGGCCTGACTGGTGCCATTTCCGCATGAAGAATCCAGGGGAGCTTATTCAGAGTGCTTACGGAGGGAGCGCAGTCTGTACTGCCCTGCAGGAAGTAAGCCTGTACATTGCGATGAGTTCTGCGATTTTGTGGTCAAGGCTCAGAGGGCCCCACAATCTGGAAATCATAGAACATTCGATCCCTTGTCAGAAGAGGTGAGGGAGGTAAGAAGCTTAAGAGAGATTAAAAATTCAGTGGGTTTGATTACTGGGTTACAAAAACTCCACACAGCAATGTGAATTCTCACTTGCAAGAGACATATTTACCGTGCATTTGAGAACGGCCCTCTCTCCAGGAGATCTTTAGCATCTGTGATTTGTTCTCCTTGATTGAGCCTGACTGAGAAGCATTTCTAAACAGGCCTCACAGACAGCCTCTTTCATAATTCGCCTCTAGTGTATACACTGTGTACCTTTGGCAGAAAGAACGCTATGCATGAAGACAGTGTGCCCTGGAACTCAGAGCACTGGCATGAGACCTGGGCTCTCAAGTCTGTTGTTTCTGCCAAAGAATGACTTTGACCCTGGGGCCAGCTGCTCCCAAGCAAGGTGAGGGAAGTCATACTTGCAGTGGACTGAGACCTCACCCAAGAAAGATGCCACATGGCTTCAAAGGGTTGATTCCTGTTGCTCAGCTCAGATAGGAGAAGTGGTTAAACTCGAGGGCCATCCTCTTTGTCTTCTTCCAAGCCTATTTTCCTGCACAGGCTGGGCCTGGCCATGCTAGATGAAGATTCACGCTGCTAACCTCAACAGAATCAGCTCTTTGCATTTGTGCTTTTATGTAGTCTGTCATTAATTAAGTAGCACTTCTTTTGTGCCGGACACTCGGCTAGCATGAGGATTCCAAAGATTCCACACCAAAGAGCTCAAAATACAGTGGAGACAAACGTGCCCACACAACTGGAACACAGTGTTACAAAGGCCCCAAGACTATACCTGCAAAATGTTGGTGGGTGAATGGAGAAGGAACTATCATTTATGTCTGAGAGCGGCTAATTCAGGGAAAGCTTTGGAGAAGATGGTGTGTATTCCTGGGGTGATGACTTGTTCAATCAGAGATACAATGAGAATAATGTGAGGAAAAGAGCCAAGCAGAAGAACATCCTTGCTGCTATGTTTACAGAACTGGAAGTAGTCTGGTTTGTGCAAAAGATAGAGTACACAGGAGCACGGCTGGATGTCAGCGTCATCAAGGCTGTAAAATTTCTTACCACTCCCAAGAGCTAGATTTCACCTGTAGCCAGGAAGAGATCTGCACACTTTCTGGATGACGAAGCTAGGATTCTATGATTCTCTTACTGTATGTCAGTCATAGCAAATTAGAACCTGAATTGGATCTAAACACCATTTAGCACAAACTTTTTTATTCAACTGTGAGAACTGAGGCTCACAGAAGATAAATTACTGGACTCTAATCATAAAGTCAGTATTTCAGTTAGATCAGGTTCTCCAGGAGTGGGGGAAAATGGAAAGTAAGTCAGACACTGTTCTTTTCTTTCTTGCTCAAGGAAGTGGATAATGCAGGATGTTAGTAGGTAAAGACCAGCCTTGCCCTGGATTCCTGTGCCATGCTCAGCCTGTGGCTTCCACTGAGTGGTGCCAGGTGGCCACGTCACATTCCCGTGGACTGAGGCCCTGCTGCTTCCTTCTGAAGGTGCTTCTACCCTCATCAAAGTCTTACAGCTCCAAGGAAGGCTGTTATGTTCCAGGCAGTCATGTACTTGGCTATAATTTAGAGACTTTTAAAGAAAGAAGAGAAACAATTATCAAGGTATGCTCAAGCACATTTTGGCATTTCTACGAAAAGTAACCCATTTCTTAACTCCCAATTAAAGGTTTTACTACACTATAGATTTTTAACCCTCAGAGAGGTGATCTTTAATTAAGAAGCTTATAACAAGACTTTGAATATGTACAAGTTCATCATTCTATATATGTATACTGGATGCTGTGTTTCCTCTTTGCTTATGAAATTTTTGTTTCTATGACTCCCTAGATCTTGTAGATAGAAGTCAGGCAGACCTTCATTTAATTCATTTCAACCAACTTATGAATTTGAGTGCATATGAATTGGTGCTCTGTTTCCTATTCTTCTTTAAAATGATAACAGTATTGTCATTTTGGGATGGTTTTAAAAATTCAGTGGGATCATTTTATGAAAAAGCCTAGCCCAGTGCTTAGTGCTGAATGAATATCAACTGCTAGAAATATCAGTTCCCTTCTCATTTTTCCTCTCTTCCTGAGACTTCCAGTAAACTTTGAGACAATCTAAAGTTCTCAAGAGGTAATTAGAAATGACAGCTGGGGATCTAGCTCAGCGGCCCAAGCGCCTGCCAGGCAAGTGCAAGGTCCTGAGTTCCATTCCCGGTGCCAAAAACAAAAAACAAACAAATAAATGAAATGACATTAACTCTTGTAGAATTGTTTTTCAGATAGCCATAGTACATTTGTCTAGCTCCATAGTCTGTCAGCCAATCTTGAAATTTCTGGGGCTCTGACACAAGCAGAGAACTAAATAAAAGTTATACATGCCAAAGCCTCAACCTAGAGATAATGAGCCTCAACCCACAGTTTTAGAAGTATTAGTTTTTAGGGGCTGGGGATATAGCTCAATGGCATAAGCACGTGCTTGGCAAGCGCAAGGTTGTGAGTTCAATCCCTGGTCCCACAAGAAAAAAAAAAAAGAAGAAGTATTAGTTTTTGAACTAAATCTGTGCCTTTTACAGTTGAGCATGTCTGCTGTACTCTTATGTTGAAAGCAGATCAATGTGAAGTAGAAAGAAAAGGAAAATCTGAGGGACCAGTAAGACACGGTTGTGATTATCTAAGTGACAGATGAAGAAATAATATGGTAAAAGCAGACAGTAATGGGTGGAATTAAAATATTTCATGAGCAAGATTCATAAGACTTAGTACTTGATGAATGTAAGATAAGGAAAGTTCTTGCTGACTCTGATGTTGAACATATTTCAACAATGACAAAACTGTAGCTCTGGAAAGTTGTCTGGCAGAGCAATTTACTTATTTGAGTGAAGGGCAGAAGGGATTGTATTATGTAAAATATAATTTATATTTCAGGAATTCTCTGTGGAAGTATAAGGCAAGTAAAACCAGAAAATCTGAGGACATTTCAGATCCTATTCTTACTTTTTGTAAATAGGTAACTCTACAAGAACATGACACATGGTTCATTTAATTTGGTATTTATTTTTAAAGGAAACAATTTGATCACAAGATTAATAATACTAGCAGCAGTAATAATAATAATAATAAACCAGAACAATGAAAAGTAAATGCAGTCTTTGACTATTCTTCTATAAGAAAGACACACACTTGCTATAGTGACTAAAATGTCTTGTTCTTTTCCGGGCCTCACATACTGAAAGAAACCTAAGACAGCTACATGTTGGGCAGAAAGCACTGACTAGGAATGTTTAATGACATAGATATCCCATAAAGAAAGACGGAAGGAGGCCAGGTTTTCATCTTCATGAAGAGAATACTGAATGGGAAAATACTTCCAATACTCTTTAAGGGTGTTACACTGAAAAAACTAACATCCTAGAAATAAGGCTTGTTGTAATGAATACCTTAACATTAAAGCTTCCCGGTCCTATGGCGGACACCTCCCAAGAGATTCTCTTGTCCCTGGATATGATATACAGTCTCAGGGGCTGGACAGGCACCAAGTGACCCAGGGTATTATAGAGAATTTATGAGCCAGATTGACTGGGACAGATATTACCTAAGATCTTCACTCTGACCTTTCTCTGTGAGTCTGTGTGAAATTCTGCCTCCCTCATAATTCCTTTGACTATAAAGTTAAAGAAATAATCCTCTTTAATTAACAGACAACCACACAAAGGAAAACTGTTTTCCTTTCATATCTGGAGATGTTAAGAATAGTATTGGATACTCTGGAAGAAAATGAATTATATACATATATTCCTCTATCACTGTATTCTCAGGTTATTACTAGAAATAAATGAGTAATGCTTCACATAATTTAAAAATCTCATTGCCCTCTGTATGGAAAAAGAAGGCTATTTTGCTTTCTTACTCTATGGTTCGGTCATTTCTGTTGGTTAATATACTCTTTAGCATTTTGAACGAACCTCACTGGCTTCATGAAGTTGTATGAAGTTGCATGAATGTGGTGTGATCCCCACTGTAAAAGAAGTTAGGCAGGGTTATGAAAGAACAGAGAAGCTGGAAAAATGATTTAAAAGGAGGTAACTGTTATCTACCCTAAGCTCTAAAAGTGGAGGCATTGAAGTAGTTAAAAATCATGCTCAAAGGCAGGGAAATAGCTCATGGGCACAAGGGCCAGCCTGGCAAGCGCAAGGTCCTGAGTTCGACTTCTGATACCAAAGAAAAAAGCTCAACACAGAGGCAATAGTGCCTGGAAAGTTGTACAAAAACAGCACAAAGTGTTAAAAGTTTGGACTGACGGAACTATGAAAATTGAGTTGGGGAAGGGCAAGGAAAGGATAGGACAATATCCTGAAGGACCTTCAACGTCACCTTAAAAGTGTCGACAGTGGAAGCAGTCATTCTCTTTGGAGCGTATATACAAGTAGAATTATCCTCTTGAGCACTCTCTTCCTGTTACATTCTTTCCTATCTTTGATAGTAAACATATAATCTCTGTCTTGAAGTTTGCTTCCTCGCTTAAACTGAACACAGACTCCAAATAATTGAATCACTTTGGGTTTTTTTTTCCCACCACAAACAACTCTAGGATGGCATGCATTTGAACAAACCGAAAGTGATTTTGCTCTTCTAATTTTCAGAGCTTTTTGGCTAAATGTAGAGTGAGAAATTCATACCTTTTTCAAGCAGTGTGGGTTCTTTTTCCCAATTCCTCTCATCCATCTGGTTCTCTGGAGGTCTTGGAATCCAGGAAAGTGTTAGTTCACTGTGCTGAAATCCAAAAAAGACTGCTAAACTGTGAAAGAAAATTTGCATTCCAGAGACAAGGAGTTAGTCCACCACACTTTTGCAGCAGCAAGGCAAAAACATCTGTATTTTTTGTGCCCTTTGTCTTTCGGCAGTTACACAATGGAAACCCTTGTGTTCTTTGGGCCTTTCATACCTAGTTAATCTAAACCACTTTTTGGTCCAGTGGAGGGGAATGTAGAAAGAGAAACCTAAACATGAAATTAATTTATTTCTAGTGTCAGAAAATATTACAGCCAAGATACAGTGTAAGGAAAAGAAGCAAATTGCTTCACCAGATTCCCTTTGCGTTTTTTATGAGATTCCATTCTCATGAATGGGTCCCAGTGCCGGGGCATGTGACATGCACTTCAGCTACGCTTTATCTGGGAAGAAACCACCCTTCACAGCCATGATATTGGCGTGTCATCGTGACCTTCTCAGCCTAGGCCCCGCCTGTTATCTTCCATTGGCAGAAGTATAATTAGAAGCCCTTGTTTTCAATGGAAGCCAAGTGATTGCCAAATCTATTCAAAGATCTCTAGAGAACAGAAGTTAGCTCATGGCCCTCTGGCTGTTCTCTTTGCCACTCCCAGGAGTTAGAGGCTTAAGATTTCCCTTTTTTTTGAAAGATCAAGTTTGGTTCAAACAAGCCTCTCTGTCTTCCGTGCGGAGTACAAGGAGAAACCTTCTATGACCTTTGTTTTTCGGCTCAGACCACTTGTGGCTTGCTATAATTTAGGAAGTAATTGCAATTCACAAAGCCAGGTAGAAAATAAACATCTTGGCAGGCCCGAGTTTCAGACAACTCTGAAGAGAACCAACACGTGAGCAGAATGGTATAGGAAGCATTTCTAGTCTCTGCTTGCAGATCTTGATTATAATGGATGGTTCATAATGGTTTAATTCTGATTTGAATTGTGCAGGCAGGCAGTCATTACTTTGTCTGCACAGAGCCGAAAACATCATCATTTAAACTCAGGTTTTAGATTGTCCCCTACATGAATCAGTTGCCCGTGGTGGATGGATGGCATTGCCCCGCTTCCTGTGTTGTGTGGTTAATTTCAGATCACTTATATTCCTAGGGAAATTTGTAGCACTAATTTTTTTGAGAAATATACTCATGCTGAGATGAAATCAAGAGAATCTTAGAATTGGAAAGTGCCTGAGACATTGGTTTATTTAGTATCAGTCATTTTCTTCGTGCAGCAAGGACTTACCGAGCACCTGTATGTCCAAGCACTGTTTTAGAGTCTGTGACTTGTAGTGTGGTCTTGAAATAAACATCCTTCATTCATTTACTTAATAAAAGATGTATGGAGCTCTTCCTATGTGCCAGGCATTATTTAGTAGAGAACTGGTGATAAAGTTGTGAATATAACAAAGGACACTTTCCTATTGCAATTTTTTTCAAGTCTTTAAGTCAAGCAGATTTTCAAGTTAACTTAAATTCCATCTTTTATAGGTGAGGGAATGAATGTTCACAGAGAAAATGCCCTGCACAGGCCTCACTGTGGGTGGCTGGCCTTGGCAAGGCTGGACAACAGCCCCTGGCTTCTGGCTCATTCCTTTGTCACTGAAATACACAAGGTCTCCAGAAACATCTGTTTCAACACTAGTTTCAAATAGCGATGAGGTCAGCACCGTGATCCAAAGGCAAGTCTCTCTCCCCATCAAGGCCCCCTGTCTATTCTAATTGAAGATGACCTGACTGAGGGATGTCAGGGTGGTATTTCTCAGGCACAGGACTCAGGGATAAGACAAGAAAAAGGACCCTACCACAGACCATCTCTTCTATGACTTCCATGTATTCGGTCTAAGTGTGCGGTAGGAAACTGCTCCATTGTTATTAGATGATGCAGGTAACCCAGGTATAATAAGAAAAAATGTCTTTAGGAAGCCAGGCATTGACCCACACTTGCAGTCTAGCACTATGGGAAGCTGAGGCAGGAGGATAACAAGCTTAGCAACTTAGTGCCATATTGAGACCCTACCTCAAAATTTTAAAACAGCCTGTGGTTGTAGTTGAGTGGGAAGGCCCAGGGTTGAATCCCTAGAATCACAAAACAATCAAACAAACAGACAGACTATAGAAAAGAAAGCAGTAATAACAAAGGAAAAAAATCTGTATTTTTCATAATACAATATGCAAAAGATTGTGTATATCTGTGTGTTTCTGATAATTGCTTCTCTCCTCTCATGATAAAAGTAAAAGAAGATTAGGCTCAGTTGATTTGTCAAAGAGAGATGATACAATTTTTTGGGTCAGTCCTCACTTGGAAGGGTCATTCTTCCCAGAAAAAGGAGCATTAGAACAGTATCTTTAAGGGGCTGGGGATTTAGCTCAGTGGCACAGTGCCTGCCTGGCAAGCGCAACATCATGAGTTCGATTCCCGGTACCAGAAAAACAAAACAAAACAAAGAACAGTATCTTTAGCCTTTCTACATTCTTTTTTTTGTTTGTTTGTTTGTTTTTTTTTTGTTTGTTTGTTTTTCTCCGGTACCGGGAACCGAACTCACGACCTTGCGCTTGCCAGGTAGGCGCTTTTGCCGCTGAGCTAAATCCCCAGCCCCAGCCTTTCTACATTCTTAAAGAGTACTTACTAAGTTTCTTATCTCACAGTTCGGGGAAGTACATAGGGCAACATACTTAATCCTATTCTACATATGAGAACATTGATCCTCAATAGTGTATGAAATCTTGTTCAAAATGTTGTGAAATGCCAGCCTATCTCAAAAGGCCTTTTCTCAGGAGGACTGACCTGGCTGCCTGTTATTAACTTGTATTTACAGGTTGGCATAGCAGAGGCTATGGAAGCCAGACCTTGGACATCATACCAGGGGCCTGAGAGTAGGATCAGCCCTTCTGAGTTCTGCCCAGAAGTCTTTCATATTTATCCAGCTGCAACTGTATCATTTTGATAGTGGCAAAAACCCAGTTTGAGAGTATTTGTTAGTGTTGTCATATTTGGCTGTTAACGAGGGACAGTTACCACAGAGAAGTTCTGATGCTACAAAAAGAATCTAGTGAGGGGGGTTAAAGAAAGAGTATCCCAGAAAATCATGTCATCCCAATCCTGACCTTGGTGTTTTCACCAAATAGGATACAACATAGGCAGTGTTCTCGCGCATAGAGTAGAGGATTGGACAAGGTGATGTAAGTCATCTTTCCATGCTGCATTGACTTCTGTTTTTGTTAAGACTGGGACAGCAACATGCTAAAGATTAATAACTGCATTCAGTGGGATTGCTATGCCGGGGAACTAAGAAGGAAGACAGAGGAGAAACTTCTTAATTGGAAGACACTGAGAAGCAGGAAAAAAGCTCCTTTCCCTCTGTACTTAGAAGACATGGATTCAAATGCTGACTATGAGGAGCTGGGGATTTAGCTCAGTGGCACAGCACCTGCCTGGCAAGCGCAAGGTTGTAAGTTCGATTCCCAGTACCAGAAAAAAACAAACAAAAAAAATGCTGACTACGTTTACAGATGTGTGGCTCATAAAGGGGATAGGAATTGCCACTGTCACCTACTATAACAGACTGTCGTGGAGATTTGGTGATGGTCTCTTTGTGTTAGCATCTTAAACTGAATCCATTCCAGGTGAAGGCTTTTATTTTGGTATGTAAAGGAATGTAAGTTACTTGATAAACAAATGTGTGGGTTGAGAGTATAACATGTGCACAGAATAAGTTTTCCACAAAATTCCCAGGGCAGCAAGGGAGAAAGGTCTCTTACAAATCCGGAAGGTCATTTTATGTTATGACATTATCAGTTGTCCTCGAGAGTTATCAGATACAGAATTCCTCACATAATTCCGTTTTTACAAGTAGAAATATAAGCTGGGTATGGTAACACATGCCTGTAATCCCAGCTCTTGGGAGGCTGAGGCAAGAGGATTATTGTAAGTTCGAGGCTAGCCTGGGCTACATGCTGAGTTCAACAGCAGCCTGAATACATAGCAAGACCTTTTCTTGAGAAAAACAAAAGTAAAGATATAAAATAAAGGAAAATTAATTATAAAGGAAAATGTAGGAAGATGCTTAGATATCTTAATTTAACTGAGTGACTAATGGATACCAAGCTAATTAAAAATGTTTCCTAGCCTCTTAAAATTTGTAAGGGGAATATTATAAAACCAGCTTCATATTCTCAGGCACTGGGTATTTGCTTTTTATGTGTGAGCTCATTCAATTATCATAATACTGCAATGTAGATATTTTTGACCTCCATCAGTAGACAAGGAAAACAAAGGCTAGTAAAGTACAGAAATTGCCTAGACTTTCAAACCCAGAACTCAGCCTTATCCTTAAATCTCTTAAAGTATGTGCCAGACCTTCTGCTCTGATTTTCGAGTAAGTCCTACCAAGATTATACTTAAAGATGTGGCAAAGGCAAATTTCTGATTTAATTCAGGTTGGAAGGAAAGGAATTCTATTCTTTTTTTCCTCTCATGATAGCTCAGTGGAGTTCTCTGATCTTTTAATTTGCCCCTGCCATGAAAGTCTAAAGCATAATCGTCAAGTCTTATCTTCCTTTATTTCTGTGAGATTAGAAAAGTGCTTTGGAACCTCTAGCATCCCATGTAGCTCACACATCTATGGTAAAGCCGCAGCTCTCTAAGCATTAAGGTGTAGGTGGGCTAAATGTCTGTAAATGGAGATTTTTCATTCTGAATTATTAAAGTTCAGATCACAAACCTAATGTTAGTGCTTAAGAATAAACAAGAAAGTATTTTTTGTGAAGAGTATGATTTATGGATTATGGCAAAATAGAATAAAATGGCCTCATTGTCCTGACTTTTTTGTCATTTTTGTTATTTTGTTTTGTTTTTTCTTAGGGTTTGAGGTTATATTTATTATTCTCAAAGCCTGTTTATGTTGCCCAGTATAAGACAAAAATTTTATAAATTTTCTTTCCTAAATTCTGTTACTAATTACGTGTGCCTCCTGTTTTTTAGTTTGACATGTGGATTTTGTCTGGTGAGGCAAGTTCCTCCTCACCAAAGCTACCAATGTACAGATTTTGTTACAATATTCTACCTGGGAAATGAATTTTGTTTGGTGCAGACTTGTCTGAGACTTTCTTTGAGGAGGATTAGAGAAAAACTCTTGTTATAACACAATAGGAATTCCAGGCTGTTAAAATAAGTTGCTTTTCGTGTAGCAACTCAAATCCCACCTAGAGTAGTTTGGTAGAATCATAAGTCATCACACAGCCCTTGTTTCATCATTCATAACTACTCATACCTCAATAAAAGCATTTTGTTGTGCCCTTTGCCTCAATCTGTGATTTGTGGATGTAGTATCTCTCCCATTACATTGGGAGCCTTTAATGGAAAGTCACATCTTTGTCTTCTATCTC